AAACAGAAATACATATGATTTGCTTGTTTTTAATAAGCAACAAGTAAGTACAGTAAAGTGCACAAAGGAAAGAAAATTTCACCTCATTTAAACAGCCATCATTATCTACAGTCCCATTATTTGGACACGAATTTCCATGTCCTCCCTATCCTCCCAAACCAAGTCTATGTAAAATACTCACTGCATGCTCTGTTGAATTTTAGATACAAAAAAATGCTGTTTTTAAACAGCAGATTTACTCAATATACCCCCAGATTTTACAAATTAATTAGGATGCCCTACACACAAATGTTTGTAACAAGAATGGTTTTTTTTTTTTCATTTTGATCAACACTTTCAAAGCAGAGGAAGGCTGATTTTTCAAGTAATGTACTCTAAAGTTTTTTACCTTAATTCCAAAGTTGTGCAGTTGTCGGGCTGCTGCTAATCCTGCTGCACCAGCCCCAACAATAATGACAGATTTCTAAAAAATAATAAAAGATTTAAATAAATAAAAATAGTTAGAACTAAAATAGAAATTATCATTGCACACCTATTTTTTTCTTACTAAAGTTAAAAATACTTGTAGGTTTCAGAAGTCTAGGCTCTCTTGTCCTCTAAAGTAATCAGTGGTAACTTTTAAAGACGATAGTGCATTTAATATAGAGAAAAGATCAATTGTAGCTTTGAAAATAGTTACAATTTTTAAGCACTTTAAAAGCAGATGTCTCAATTTCTTTTAACAGAAACAGCTGAAGTTATCAGTCAAGTAACACAATCTAACTGAAGTTGTCAGACACGAAACATACTTACCTTGTAATGATTTCAATCACAAATTGGGATGACCAGTAAAAACTACTTTCTAAATTAAAAACATACAAATACGCCTTCCAAACATAAATCAACTTACAATTTCTAGGAGATATTCCATTACAGAACACATTAATTTGATAAGTTTCTGTGTGCTGTCAAGCAAATTGCTAGTCATAAATACGTACCCTTTAATCATAGTTCTTGCAAACCAATATGGAATAGGAGTTTCCTCACCTCTGGAAGCAGAGGTGTATTACAAGGTTAAGCCATGAGAAGAACCTAAGTGTACTGTGTATTTTTCACACAGTTCCTGTCCATCTGAAAAGCTCATAGGAAGCACAAATCCATAGGACTGAATTCCATAGATTTTAGTGGGAACAAAGGAAGAGTCCCATGTCTATAGTTTCCATAACCATTGAAGTCAGATGAGAACTGTGAAAAACATGCAACGTGTTTGCTTTTAGATGTAATTTTTGCATAAACGGTTGGAATCACACGTAATGAGCAAAAAATCCAGAATGAAAAAAATATGACGTGCCATGTAGTTTTATAGCACTAATAATGTAGGCATTATTACAGCAACTTACATTGTGGTATTCTTTAGGAAGAAGATGCTGGTCAGGACTGACTGATAAAATCCCTGTATTAATTAGCCCTTTCCTTGTCATAAAATAAAGTATCCTCTCCATTTCCTGTACACAACGAATACGCACAAGCCCCCGAACAATGATATGATGGATACATTTTTGAGGGGTAAGAGCCTCCTGCAAAGGAGAAACAAAGAATAGAAAGCGTTTATTATATAATATTCAATTTTTTCATGCGCTTACATTGTATTTAAACTGTAAACCAGATGGTAAAAATTAATCATGAATCAGGTTTCTGAGAGCATTTTAAAAGCAAGTTTTGTGGAAATTTCTTGCTAGCCAGCTTTACACAGTAAGGTAACAATTTATTAAGCTAGATTAACATGGAATAAAAGCAAATCAGTCTACAAGATACTGTTGGAAACTCCATGGTGTGCTCCATTAGTACAGGAATGGTATCAAATGCATGCCTGATTGCAAAATGAATCTACCTGGTGGTCACACTCACAATGACATTCCAGTAAAATCCATTCCAAAATGGCATTCCAAATAAAAAATAGATTAATATCAAAAACCTTCACATAAATACAGACATCGGTATCTGAAAGCTTCAGCATGTGAAATTCCAGCAATTCCATTGAAGTCATAGAGTTAGCATAAGTAAAAAGACAATCATTTCCCTGTCCAACAGTCATATGAAAAAAAAAAAAAAAAAAATCATAAAGCACCCACAAACACTATTTAGAAATGTTCAAGCATCCCTTTAAAAGTTAATAGCTGGGCAGACTCAGTAGAGTTTTAATACTTTTAAAACTTTTGTATTTCACTGCAAAAGAAGGTCCTAGGCATTAAAACTCAAAAAAAACCCCAACAAAAACCAAAAAAACAGCCAGTCTTGGAATGTATTTTCAAAAGGATGGGAGTAATTTTTCTGGTGCATAAGGAGGTATCTAAGAAGAGAGTCCAATCCCCAAGAAGAGAGCCCACATCCCAAAAAAGTAGCTATTATTTGTAAACAAAAAAATTAACTATTAGCATCTCTTACCTTGCAGTTTGTGTACCACAGAGCCAAAATCAGGTTTCTCAAAGCCAAGTACATGGTAGGGTCTCGTGAATATTCTGGGAACTCATAGAGCTCATCCAGTTCCATGACATCTGGCCTCACACAAAGTGCTTTCCCACACTCATTGGGCTGGTAAAAAGGCTGGAAATACTTGTTCATGCCTGCAACTGAATAAAGACACACCAAGAACTAGTCATATTCCGTCTTATCTTCATTGCATCCTTTTCCCTCTAAGATGATCCATTGACCTCACACAGACAAACAAGTAACGAAGCTTTCTAGTCACCTTCAGAATGATTTCATTTATATTGCTCTCCCCTCTCCTACCCTCTAGGCTGTGCAGTATTAATTATTGTCCTGCTGCCTGATGGGTACGTCTTGGACCTATCAGAGCTTCAGTTTTGTCAGAGAAACAGTATGTGCCCTCAGATGCCATGATGAGTCCAACAAGGAACAGGATCTAAACTCAAGTCTAAGGTCTAGCATCACTGTACAGGCTCATGCAGTCCTCTGAACCTCTTCCATCTTCAACTCCTAATACTGCCCAGAGTAGGTAGTAACTAAAAGTAATCATTTTCCACGTGCAGTATTGGTAGCTCTGTGTAATGAAGTCTTCTGTTTGTTAAGCAGATAAATATCTGTTGAACAGATGAATAGATTTATTTTCAGCACCTATCTAGAGCAAAGCCTGCTAAGATAACACAGAAGCTGAACTTCCCTCAAAGCACTCTCTGAGATGATTATGGGAATCCTGAATTACCTTTCTCCATACCTGACCTATTCTGCAGATCCGCACTGCCAGGCTGTCAGTCTCAGAGCTGTCATTAGCAAAAAAATTAACCTAAACAGAATCTGAGTGCCTTAGGAAATCAAATCCTTTTCTCCAAAGCCCCAAAGATCCAAAATATCAAAACTAGCAGAATCATGTTTTGTTTTGATAAATCTTCATTTCCTTAAGACCGCAAACAATCTTTAAGAACCTGCATGTTAATTTCCCATTTCTATAAACAAATGACAGGTGGTAAACAAAAAGCCTATGCAGTCTGTGCTTACTCCCTAAAGAAATGCCATACGAAATGTATTACCTTTATCTTACAAATGAGTAAATTGCATCAAAGAAGTACAGAGGCAGTCACACAGAGAGTGTGTATTAGTGCTGAGAACAGAACCAGTATTTCTGAATCAGGAGCATTATGTGCCTTATAAACTCAGTTATAAGACAAAATTTATCACACCTATTTAAGCAACAGAGCCCTGCAGATGGCCCTTACCAGTCAAATTAGGCACGCTCTTTAAGTGCTCTAACTTCACAAGGTTGGATTCACCAGGTAACCGATTAGTGCTGGTACAGGATGGACTCATGCCCACGCAGTCTGGATAATATGCAGCTAGAAAGGGAGCTGCCACACTGTCTTTCAGCAAAGGAGGGAGTATGAGCATGGAGTACCACCAATGGTCTGAAACTTCAGCCACTCTCTGGCCAAGCGGAGAAGTGAAGGAAAGAGGGGAGAAGAGAACACGTCAGTACTTTGAAAACGTTGGAAAATGAACCAGTTCCCCCCCTCCCTCCAAAACTGAGACCAAAAAGCACTAGCAGTACCAATCTCAGAATTGCACGTCATAAAGACATTTTCTCTCCCTCTTTCCCCTTCCTCAGCCTGACACAGAAAACCTGTAGCATTCATCTCTTCCTCAGAAATGGAGCTGAAACTTCACAAACTCCACACCCACGTGGAAAGCAAACAGATGAGACATGCCATGACAACACATCTATGCCTTATCAGGCCCTTTATATAACATTTACAGTCGTTTATGCATCCAGAAATCTGAACGTAGAAAAGTCTACACTAACTGATCAATTTAATTTAGATTCTGCTATCCCCATCGAAGACCTTCTAAAACCCTAACAAACGCTAATGATTCAGCCTTAATTTACAAATCAAACATGCATTAAGGAAACAAAACCACAAAGCTTCTACAAGATTCAACAATAAGCTTGAACATGTTTCCTGGGATAGAGGTACCTCAGGTACACTTGTCAACATTGGCTTATTGAACATCAGATCATACTAAATCTGAAAGGCAGGGTTACATGATCATAAACCCATTGAAACACCAGCATACATCAAGTCTAGTTTTGTATTGTGAGGGAGAGGAGAGAGAAAACATGTTTTGATGTTCTCTCGTAGTCTTCAAAAAGAGGAGACTAGCTTGACTAAAGATAGAAACCACCTGAAAGACAGGGAAATTTTAGGATGGGGAATTTTATTTGAAAGCTGGCAACTGAATACTGTTTTGCCTGATCAAAAATGAGAATTAGGACTAAACCTTGAATCACAGGCCACAATTCAAAGACACCACGAACCACCTGAAAGCTAATTGGTGTGGTAAGGGAAAAGAGGAAAAAGATGAGAAAGTAGAAGGCCCTAGGCTCTGTTGCAAATAGTGTCTGAGTTTCCTGAGCAAAATGCATAAATAGCGCCATAATTGGCCAAAGGACCAAGAAAAGGAAAGAAATACGCCGTGCTTTAAGATTGCTTTCATATTCTAGGACAAATGAGGAGGAACAGCCACTACTCACCAAGTCCTCAGGCATGGAACACTGGTCTGAGCCCTCAGTCTGAAAGAAAAGTGAATGGTATCAGAGCTATTCTTAAGCTGTACAACAAAAATTAAATATAAAACAAAATAATTTGTCTATGGCATAGTTCTTTGAACTTAAAAAAGAAAAAACCAAAAATGTGTTAGTGTTAGCCTTCTGTAGCAGAGATGATAATGTTAGTAAAAATAAATAGTAGAGAAATGCATAGTGAAAAAACACAACACGCCATAAAGCAAAAACTCCCCAGAAAATATTTCTCATTTGTTAAGTTAGTTTCTCCTGATCAGACATTAAAATATACATTCTGTTCCACGAAATGGAGCGGAACACTGAAACAAACAAATGAAGGGGGCGGGGGGAAAGGGAATTTTATAGAAGAATTCTGGAAATATCCTGCATTTTCCAGAGAGACTCTTCCAGTCTAGACTATATGAAAGGTTTCTCATTTATTTTAAGAGTATCTTTATCACAAAGTTTCAAGATTAAATGCTGACCCTTCTGATTTTCACATGGTCAGTATTTTCATGTTATGTTTTTAACTATATAGATACTATGGCACTATAAGGACTCTTTCAAATTTCAGGAGTTATCTTCATGCCAAAGCTGAAAGTTTTCATGTAAAGCCCCATGACAGACTTGCTAGAAATCAATAAAAGCTTATTGAGTTTTTCAGGTGCTTTCCTCAATAACAAAGTATGGCCAAACAAAACTGAAATAAACATTTTGCTATATATCTATTTTGTACATGCTGATAATCTTTCCATAGCTGCAGAATGCAGGATTTTACAATTGACTGTGCAGACAAAGATATTCCAGATATATCTTTCTTGACATTTCCACTCGGGAAACTAAAAGTCTAAACAGCATGTAGGCCTGTCACCATGCAGCTCTCCATTCCATTAGACAATCATTTTGACATTAGAAACATTAAGCAGCAAAAAAGAAGAAATTAATGTCTGCAAACAAGAAATATCATCTTAGTAGTTTCAATATGAGCAAAAGTCTTCTGTGTTACCTTGGTGGAATTGTTCAGTTTCATACCACATCTGTAGGTTTTTGCTATCTGTGGTGTCAGCTGGATTTCCTTTGTCAGCTGACGCCATTTACCACAGTCTGGCTTTGTGCACTGCACCTACAAGTCAAAAAACAAACATGTTTTTACTCATTGCTGTCTGATTACAGATAAGATTAATGAAGCATAACTAACTAATTAGAAAGCAAGGAGATGTGAGGAAGTTGTCAAACATAGTTGTTAAATTCGTTCTCATGTAATCCTCAGGTCATAAATAAGACATTTGGTATACAGAAACCTTGTGCCCATCTCGTTTAAGACTGAATTAGGTTCCACAGAACCTAACTCCAAAATTATTCAACACCCAATTACTATGGTCTTCAGTGGGTTTTGCAAGCGTTACTGCAAAAACACATTGTTCACCACTTCAAAAACAACAACACCCCCCCCTCCCCCCAACGACAACAACAACAAACTTCCTTCCATTCCAGTCTCTCTTCTGCTCTCTTTACCAGGGAAATACAAAATCTGTTTTGGAAGTCTTTCACACTCGTACTTTCCTATAGCTGGCACGCTCCCTCTTCCCCGCCAAGTCTTATTCTACCTGAACATCACACATCTTGGCTGCTACTTCACTGAAAAGCAACAGAAGGTTGTTCTTTGTGGGGTGTGGAGAAGGTCTCCAACAATGGAGGAGCTGATCAGAACTATTATCTTGAGCTTTTCCACAGTCCTCTAATACTAGAAAACCCCCACAAAAACTCAGCTGACCTGCTGCTTGAACATACAATATCAGAAACTCACATCAGAACATCAGATTGAAATATACCCTACTAAATAAATCACCCTCCATCTTACCCAATAAGGAAGCTGTTGATCAGCCATGAAGGCTTTTGGACTGGGCTCACTTTTACCATTACTTGTCCAAATCCTTTTCCAGGCTGTATATTTCTCATAACCATCTTTATGGCTAAGAAGAAAGAGAAAAGAAAACAGCAAGCAATCAGCAAATTGAATATCTAGTTCATTTCAAGCAACAGCAGTTATTCTAAAATTAAACATTTTATATAAGGACAGAGAAATAAGGCTGTAGAGAGTCCTGTTTTTTCCTATTAAAAAAGGAGATAGTCATGGTTCTTACGATAGCAATAAATTGCATCCTGACCACTATGTCCTCTTGATCATGAGCACACTTCCTGGTATCTAAGGCCTGGACTGAGTCACAGGTACTGCTGAGCACATAAGCACCCAAAAGTCTTAGTAGAGCTGGACTCAACTCCCACTCAAATGGGAAGGAGCTTGGAGCTGAAAGCACTCTGTGAGTCTTTACGGTCACTGAGCCGCCAGAGTTAAATCTGCTCACTGATTTGATGTTACAGAGAGGCAAGGTCTCCTGACCTCACATTGTAAAGTGAATTTGCTTTATAAAGGAAAATAGATTTACTTAAAACTGTTCTCATAATTTAAAATTCTCTGATGCTGTTTTAAGAAAGACAAAAGCTTCAGAATAACTGTATACACAAACCAGCCTGCCTAAACTAACCAGTTCTGTTCACGCTGCTATGTTTAAGTTGATGATTAGTCCATACAACACCTGCAGTTTTAGCACCAATATCTAAGCCTCACCTCGAATAAAGCAAGCACAGAGGGCAAGTCTTTGTATTATGTTTATGTACGTGATGTTTCAACAGTTGTAACATCTGCCAAATTTTAATAAGCACTGAAAAGGCACAACCTTAACTGGCAAATCTACCTTCGGTAATAGTGGTCAAAACATTCATTGCAGAAGTGTTCCCCACAGGAGAGATGATACCATCTAGACGTATACCCATTTTTAGCACATCTGTAATGCAGGAGACATAGAAAGAGTTTTACGATACATTTAGAAAAAATCTTTCTATTGACACTAGCACATTCTAGAATGTGAACAAAATATTCAAGACAAACCAGGGCTTTATGTTACATTCATGAAGGCTGACTTGCACAAGGCACTACAGTCATACAAATAACAATAAGATCACTTCAATTGTCTCAAACATTTCCAGTTTCCAAACTAAGTAACACCAGATGCAAAGGAGGCAAAATGTACACAATGTGCAGTTTTATAGTTGGTCTGGCTTCCAGCAACCTCCCGCTAACAATGGTCAACTGAGCCTGTCTTTAGTACCCTTTAAGCAGACGTTTCCTGAACATGAAATACATTTGCTCTTACAATATGTGCTGTTACACACCAAGCGTTTTGCAAATCTGTAAGAAGACAAAGTCCCTCTCCACTTACAGCTCCTTTAATTTGTTCCATTTTGTTCTGATATTAGTGCAGGGGTGGGAGGGATCATTTAAATTAGTATTTTTCTTGTATGTGTGATCAGTTGATTCATAAATCATTACAACATCCTGTCCCCAGAACAACTGACAAAACTATAAAGGCAAATCTGAACACAAAACAGATGTTGCCTATTTTTTTCACGTGACCGAGTTGGTTTCGATTTTAACCCAATGAGAGAAAATCCTGAGGAAGCAGTTACACATTCTGGGCATTTATTCTTTATTAATCTCAGAAAGAAATACCCACTAGCAAAGATTATATTCATCAGACAAAGCAATCGCTCTTCACTTCGAAAACTCTCATTAAACTCAATGAAATGGTTCAAGATAAATGCACGAGGTAAAACACATGAGGTAAAAAGCAGTGTGACCTAAGCTACTAAAATAGCTAGCCATGAAATAATCTCATCTCAAATAAATAACGTTGAAAGTATGTACTTGGGAGGGTGGGAGGGGTGGAAATCAAAATATTAAAATAACAATTCAAAAAGATGACTCAGCAGTATCTATTGTTTCCTAAATAAAAAGTGTAATATCACGAATGCTGATCTCTCAGGTACTCATTTCCCCACAAGTCTCTTATGCAACTGCCAAAACGCTTGGCTTTCCTATGACAACATCCAGAATACTTTGACCTCCTGCCACCAAAGAACAATCCACATAGATAACTAAATGAAGCACTGAATTATTTTATATCATTGGAAAAGAAATAAAACAAGGAAAGTTTGTCTTAATTAACCAGGGAGGGAGGAATGCTATATAATTGCAGTCTGCCTACTGCCTAATGAGGTCTAACATGTTGCTTCTTATAGATACACCTTGCCAGTATCATGCATTCAGTACTGCCAGGGTCAGAATGCAAAAGGACTTGTGCAAGTACACAGAAAGCCATGAACAACTTGAGAGAAAGAGTTCAAATAAGTACGACTGATTCCCAAGACCTAAAATTTCAAGGTCAGAATCTCACCTCCGACTGCAAAGCACTCCAACGAAAGAGTGATAAAGACTTTCTGCAGTAAACGACAGTTTCATTTTCCATCTTGAAAGCAAGTTTAGCTTCCTCAGATTACACTAGTATGCTCTCAGTTTCACAGAAGCAAGGCATGTTCCAGAAGACACCATTAATAACATAAATAAGCGTATTCTAAAGATATTCTATATCTGAATTAGCAACTTGCACAGCAGAAAGTTATCCACAACAAGAATAACTTGTGACACTTTCCTGGCATCTTAAGACTCATATTACTACTTTTCAATTCTCCCTCTACATTTAGAAACGAAGGGATTTTTCAGAATATAGTTACGATCCTAAACTTCAGCTGCAAGTTTAGAAAAGTCCATGGAAAATGCAAACAAAAAGAAAAAAACCTTTCAGCTGCACTGGCAAAGCAAACGGGACATGTTGCAGTGCATCCAGCTTTTTCACACTTTCTATATTTCTTCTCTGACGCTTCATCATCATCATCTGCTGCTTCAGCCGCTTTCTTCTTCACCTAATAAAGAATAGCTGAAATCTGAGCAGAAATGACACAAATGCATCTTCTACAAAATGGCATTCAGACAGTTTTGCAGCTTGTGGGTAGCATCAAATGGTTAAAATGGTACTAATGAAAATTTTTGTATCCATTGTGAAATAGCTGCAGCATGAAACAGCTGTCAAAGTAGGTCAGTTTTTCTACAAAAAAAAAAACAACACCCAGTAAGGCTGGAAATATCATTTAAAGCTAAAAATGTCTTCCCTTAGTCTAACTGATGCCATTGAAGAAATTATAAGCAAAGCTTCCAGTTTAAATCATATTTTAAGCTCCATCACATGCTAATGAGTCAAGCCTCATGCGTTCATTCTATTTCTCCTTCAGAAAAAGAAAATCTCTTCTTCACATACTTACTGATATTAATTAGTGGCAATCTTATCTGCGCCTCAGATAAAATACTAGGGTAGGCTTGGGGCTTTTTTTGGACTCCAGACACAAAGCTGTATGCCAAATGTCTCTTCTGGGCCTCAGAGGTACTGTGTATTGTGTTGTTTTAGGCCTCTGTCTGGATGGGCAGACAGCTTTGTCTGGCTGTACAGAAATCTGTGATTGTATTTTTAACATATCAAGTATTTACAGGTTATATTGAGCATTTGTCTCTTCTGAATATTGTTCACAAATGAGACACTTTACCTACTTATTCACAGAATTAACTAATCCTCCCTCTTTCTCGATAAGTACTCCAAGTCCTAACTTATCCACAATGAAGCCTGCTTTCTTTATAAATGTCAATACAAAATAAAAAATATCAGCGTATGAACCCACGTGTTTTTAAATTATTATAAATACCTGTCTTCCAGAACTTCTCAGAGGAAGGTTGTCTGGAGACTGGTCTGAAGAACATGCCTTTTTTTTCGTTCGTACCCTTCCAGTTGACATTGTATTACTAGATCTGCAAAAAAAGTAGGCAGTAGTTAAGAAACAAAAATAAATTACTTGACTTTGCAGAGCTGTGTAATCACCTCGGCAGTACAGCCACTCATTTGTCAGAGTTACCTAGGTAAGAATCTGTTTAGCTTGACAATTAATTCAGGAGGAAAATGAGAATGAGGCATTACGGGAAAGGAACAATACTACTATTTTAAACTAAATTCCGAGTTAAGATTAGATCCTTGAGTACATCTTGACAGGCTGTTCCAGATCAGCATACCCTGGATTTCAGTAATCTGATTTGCATTACGTGAAGACCTGGGCTGGAATTTGGGTTGGCAAAGTGAATAGACATCAGCTTATAATGCAAGCATTGAAATACCACTCCGAGTAACGCTCGTCCTGCTAAGTACTGATTTGTTGGTAGCAAGAGATTTGCACTGTAAAGCACTTTTCCAAACAGCATACTGAAGAGATGTTTAATACCAGGTGAACAACCAGTTCCAAGACTTGCACACCCTCCTATGAAAGTACATCAGAATTTAAAGTCTAAACTGAAGTTGCATTGCAATTATAGGTGATCAGAATATTACAAACTTTGTTGTTAAGCATACTGCAGGAGAGTAGAAAAGGCTTACGCCACAAGAGAGCTGTATAGCTGTCTTTGACCACATCGGTGGGAACGTGGAAAAGACCACAGTTTATCATGTAAGCTGGAAAGCACGGAATGTGAGAAAGTATGCCACAGAAATATGAAAGCATATTTAAAATGATATTATCAAAGGCATTCTTTTCACAGGGAGTAAAACACAAATAAATAGAGCCTAGAGGAAGAATTAAATCTAAATGTGCTCCACCACATACAGAAAGGAAGTGGAAATAAAACCCTTATACTGCACTGCATCTTGTTGTAGTAGGGATCAGTGTGTAACTATGTATTTTTTTTAAATATTTGAGACTTCTCAATTCTCTTTTTTCCAGGCTGCATCTTCCTTGACAGTGAAGGACATGGTAGCAGTAGCTTCATTCAGGAATTCTGCTAAAAGTAAAGGTAACAGGAGGAGAGAATGGGCATTTTTACAAAGTTTCAAATGAAGCTTATGCAAATCAAATAAATTGGTGCTTTACTCTCCTCTCAAGATAGAAGAAATTGATTTGGGAGGGGAAGGGAAATCACATGATGATATCCACATAAGTGAAAAATCAGTTCAGACAACCCAATACAAAAATAACTTTCTTTTTTTATGCACCCCCCCCCAATTATAACTAATTAGAGGGAGGAAAAAAAGAATTAAGTCAATCTTTATTATCTTAAAAAAAAAAACCAACCATCACTTACCACTGTATGGGGGTGGATGAGGTTGGAGAGTAGAGAAAGGAAAACCAACCAGTTTCATTTACATGAGATTTCCCTAAACTACTGTGCAACGCCCCAGGAAATGGTGGCTTTTTCCCCCTGGAGCTTTCCTTCTGGATCAGTGCCGCAACAATCTCTCTCTGTACTACCTTAGCTTCTGACGCTAGATAATCGTTCTTACGTGCTGTTGCCTTTACAGTCGGAGGCTATGGACTACCTGAACACTGAGCAAGGCACCAGGCGACTCGTTTTGGTGACTACCAGGTGATCACAGTCTGCTGCTGCAAGGCCTTTTATCCAAGAAGGTGTGTTTCATTGCATATACGGGGTTAGAAAAAGAAAAAGCAGCAGTTATCATTCACTAAGAAATTCGGTAAAAATATTTAAGATTAAGAGAGGCCTCCCACTTTGAAGGGCAGAGGCCGGTCGTATGGAATCACATATTTTTGCTATAAGCACTACGGGAGGGGGAAGAGGGAGGTGGGGAGAAAGAGAAAGAAAAAGAGACCAGCTTATGCCTATAACTGTAAGCAAGGCCATTGCTTCCAGTTGTATGCCACTTTGTCCCCACTTCCCCTCCCAAAACAAAAAACATCCCCCCAAAACCCCACAGCTTTTTAAAGAACAATCAAACGTTGCTTACTTTACTAAGCTTTATATGAGTCTGCATCCTGTAAACATTATCGTATTGGCTGAGAAAATAAACCCTTTAAAAGGAGAGAGAGAGAGATTCGTAATACGCTGTCACATTCTATAACATTTCATCCATCTGCAATGCATGGCCTGTATGGGGAAGCTTTGTGGGGTTCAACCTGTACAGTTGACAGCAAGTTTGTCTTTGGGGGAGGGGAAAAAAAAAAAAGCAGCC